TGACCCCAGATCTCTGGAAAGAGACGGTGTTCACGAAGTCTCCCTACCAGGAATTCACAGATCATCTTGTGAAGACTCACACCAGAGTCTCCGTGCAGAGGACTCAGGCTCCAGCTGTGGCCACCACCTAGTGGATTTTCTATAACAAATAAAGTGAATTATGTTCTAAAAAAAAAACAACAACAACAACAAAAAAATGATTCTGACTCACGGCAACCCCATGAGTGCTCCCATAGTTTTTCTTGGCTTCAATCTTTAACAGAAGATCATCAGGCCTGTCTTCCAGGGCACTGCTGGGTGGGTTCAAGCCATCATTCTTTAGGTTAGTAGGTCAGAGCAAACCTTTTGTGCACCTTGTATTTCTGTACCACTAGGTAAACTGGTAAGAAACTTCATTGCAATCCCAACGTCATGTTGTTCAAATCCACCAGAGGCTCTGTAGGAGACAGATGGACAATCTCCTCCTGTGTGATAAATTGCCTCTGAAAACCCTCTGAAGGGTAAGCTATGAGTTAGCTCCAACTTGATAGTACACAACAACAATAGGTAACTAAAACATTAACAGCAAAGAAACAAAATGTGAATTATTCTGGAAAAGGGGTACCAAATGTTGACAGATACAACAGATACTTTCATGAGCACAGAGAAAAGCAAAAGAAAACATCCTATGTTGACAATATTTCAGAAACAGAATTTTTAATATTTTCGAAAAATAGTCATTTAACAGATTTGGAAAGGTACAACTAATTAAGATAAAATTAAAACAAATAATAAAATATTTCTACCTTCTGTCTTTTGGGCTACCCAAGCATTTATGTGCTTTCTGGATGTCTCTGTACCACTAATGAAGTCAAGTTCTTCCATCTCTGCTTGGTAAAATTTGTGGCAAGAATCTTTAAAAGACTAGGACAAAGGCGGAAAAAAATTATTGCAAAACTACGAACAAAATTACACAATTACCACAAAGTGTTTTCTTCTTCATTTTGTCAAACAAGATAATAAATTTTTAAACTTAATCACATCACTCAAAAGTTGTTGTTTTTGTTATTGTTGTTCTATGTCGCATCAAGTCACTTGTGACTCATGGTGACCCTATGTACAACAGCACCCTGAACCTGAACTCTGCTTTATCTTGTGCCAACCTTATTGTATTGTTCCTAACACACCTACTTCATTAACCAACTCACTGAATCAATCTGTCTCATCCAGGGTCTTCCTCTCTTGTGCCATCCCTCCACCCTCCCAAGCATGATGTCCCTCTACAAGGATTGGTCCCTTCTTGCAACAAGCCCAAAGTATGTCAGATGGAGCTTCAAAATCCTTGGCTCCAAAGAGCAGCCTGATTTCAGCCTCTCTCAGACAAACCAGTTTGTTCTCCTAGCTGTGCTTGGTATATTCAATACTCTTCTCTACCATCACAGCTCAAAGGCATAAATTCTTCTTCTTTAGTCATTGTCCAGCTCTCTGATGCATAGGAAGTAATTGTGAAGACCATGGGCTGGATCTGGCACACTTCAGTCTCTAGACTGACGTCATTCCTCTTTAGAACATTTGGAGAGGTCCCTGACAGGAGATTTTCCCAATGCAATTTGTCTTTTGATTTCTTGGCTGCTGGAACCAAGAGTGTTATAGAGTCAAGCAAACTGAAGCTATTAATAGTCTCAATGTCTTCACTATCATGATGCTGGCAATTTGCCCAGTGGTGAGAATCTTTATTTTCCTGATGTTGAGTTTCAATCCATATTGAAGACTGCAGTCCTTGATCTTCTGCTGCAAATGTCTCAGGTCCTCTTCAGTTTCAGCAAGCAAGGTTGTGTCATCTGCATAGGGCAGGTTGTTAATGAGTTATTTTCTAATCCTGATGCTGCATTCCTCCTCATAGAGCCCAGCCTCCCAGATGATCTGTTTCATTTATAGACTGAAAAAGTATGGAGATAGGATGCATCCCTGGTGTACACCTTTCCTGGTTTTGAACCATGCAGTGTTTCCTTGCTCTGTTCTGACTACTGCCTCCTGGTCCAATACAGGTTTCACATAAGCACAACCAAGTGCTCTGGGATTCCCATTCTTCTCAAGGTTATCCACAATTTGCTGCCATCCACACAGTCAAATGCCTTTGCATAGTCAATGAAACACAGACAGACATTCCTCTGGTACTCTCTGCTTTCAGCCAATATCCATCTAACATTGGTTATAATATCCCTAGAGCCACGGCCTCATCTATACACAGTCTGCACATCTGGCAGTTCTCTATTGATGTGCTGTTCCAGTGTTTTTGGATAATTTTCAACAAGATCTTATTTGCATGTGATATTAATGATATTGTTTGATAATTTCCACACTCTGTAAGATAACCTTTTTTTGGAACAGGAACAAATATGGATCAAGTCAGTTGGCCAGATGATTAATCTCCAGATTTCTTGACACAATTTGGTGAGCGCATCCAGGGCAGTGTCTGTTTGTTAATGATATGCCATTAATTTCTGCAGCCTTGTTCTTTGCCAATTTCTTACTGCTGAAAACTGGCAACTTCATATATAACTGGTAGGCTACCATGAAGACTTTCTCCTGAATGAAGAACACTAGCTGCCAACTAGAGTGCTACAGATGCACACACAGTGCTCAAATATAAAGTTGTTGTTGTTGTTGTTGTTATGTGCCATCAAGTCACCTGTGACTCATAGCAACCCTAAGTACAATAGCCCTAAACCCTGCTCTATTCCTTGCCAATATTATTGTCTCCAACATGCCTATCCCCATTATTCCAGTAATTAAATCAGTCCATCTCATCAAGGGTTTTCCTCTCTTGTACTGCCCCCACCAAGCATGATGTCCCTCTCCAAGGACTCATCCCACCTTGTAACATGTTCAAAGTATGTGAGACAGGGCTTCAGAATCCTTGCCTCCAAGGAGCAGCCTAGATTTACTCTTTCCAGGATGAACTTGTTTGTTATCCTAGCAGTCCATGATATATTCAATACCCTTCTCCAGCCCCAAAGCTTAAAGGCATCAACTTTCCTTCTATCATCCCTAGTATTGTCCAGCTCTCTGATGCATAGCAAGTAATTGCAAAGAGCATGCCCTGTATCAGGCGCACCTTAGTTTCCAGATTGACATTATTGCTCTTCAGTACTTTAGAGAGGTCTCTGACAGCAGACTTTCCCAATGCAATTAGTCTTTTAATTTCCTGGCTTCTGGTACCAAGACCGTTGACTGTAGAGTCTATCAAACTGAAGCTGTCAACAATCTCAATCTCTTCAACCATCATGATGCTTCCAATTGGCTCAGTAGTGAGAATCTTTGTTTTCTTGATGTAGAGCTTCAATCCATATTTAAGGCTGCAGTCCTTGACCTTCTGCAACAAGTGCTTCAGGACCTCCTCAGTTTCAGCAAGTAAGATTGTGTCATCTGCATAACGCTGATTGTTGAATCTACCTCCAATCTTGATGCCACAGTTCTCCTCATTGAGCCCAGACTCCCAGATAATCTGTTCTGCATATAGATGTAAAAAGTGTGGAGATAGGATACATCCTTGATGCACACCCTTCTCAATTTTGAACCATGTAGTGTTTCCTTGTTTTGTTCTGATGACTGCCTCCTGGTCCAAATATAGGTTTCACATAAGTACAATCAAGTGTTCTAGGATTCTCGTTTTTCTCAGAGTCAACCACAGTTTGCTGTGATTCACACAATCAAATGCCTTTGCATTGTCAATGAAACACAGATAGACATTCCTCTGGTACTCTCTGCTTTCAGCCAAGCTCCATCTGACATTTAGCTATGATATCCCTCTGCCATGGCCTCTTCTAAATCCAACCTGCACTTTAGGCAGTTCTCTGTACCTAAAAAAGATATCAAGAACCCCACTCTATCTCACATAGCATGGAAAATCTGGACTTGGTTAAGGACTCAGAGCATAGATAGATCTTTTTTTTTTTTTTTTTTTTTTGAGATAGAGCAGAGAGCATAAAACAGGGGGCCAGTAGTTCTCCACTGAAGACCCCAAGCCAAGCTTCTCTGTATCTTTATTGAAAATTATCAGGAAGTAAATCACAAAGAGAATTCAATGCAAATGAAGCCAAGCTCTTTCTATTGAAAACCTTCTGCTTGACTCAGGAAGGAGGGGTTCACAAATGCAAGAATTTGGTTTACCCTTAACTATTAACCTTGATGCCTCAGGGTGAACTCTAGCTCAGGAAGTAACACTCCCTCTGTAGGGGGCCCTTGCTGTCTCCTGTCTGCAGGGAAGCAAACAGCTCATTTTCTAGGATCTGCCACAAGAGAAATCCTAACTTATAAATCTGTAATTCCTTCAATTCCTGAACAAGGGTTTTCATATAATATAAAGTATAAAGTTTGGCTTCCCATAGCCTGTGACTCAACGGCACTTAACAACAACAATATATAAAAAAATATGTGTTACAAAGGGCACTAATACACACTGATGCAGATTCATTGAGTTGGCACATCTTTTTTCTTCCACAACATTCATTATGATACCTAAAGTGTAATGGCAGTTTTCCCACACCCTCCTTATAATTCTTATTTCCATTAATAGCTATGAGTCTTGCCTGTCAGGTAGCATAATCCTTTACCCAAAGATGGCACTTTTCTCTGGTTTCAATCTGCCAATTACTATACTGAAGAAAAATAGGCAATTTCTTCCTTTATAATTTACCGCCACAGAAACACACTAGAGTTTGAAACTCTTTAGCTCTGAGTCAGTGCTGACTCAATGGCAATGAGCTTGAGTTTTGCAGTCTGCCTATATATATCTGCTGCTAACTGTATTTCGTGTGTACTCTCTTCCCTTTATTTATCAGTATTGTTTCAATCATGCCCTTATTGTGTATTGCTTTTCCTTTCACCCAAATTGTTGTTTAGTGTCTATTTATCATTTCTTTCTCCACCCTGCTTCCTTTCTTTCCCATCCTTTGTAACCACCCAAAAATGAAAGTTTGTGTAAGCCCTCCTTTAGCTTTTACTAAATACTGTCCTTAAACTATATTTTCCTTCTGTGACTAGCTTATTTCTGTAAGGATAAGGTTCTCTATATGGAGTTTATCTTTCAATATGGCTTTTCCAGCATTATTCAAATATGGATAATTGGCCTATGTGGGTGGGTGGGACTTTGCAAATAGAGTGTGCTGGTTTATTCACCAGAGGAGATCAGCTCTCTATCATTCCCAAGGTGATTGGTGTGTCTCAACAATCTATAAGAAGACTGATGTGGCTTGCCAATAAATTGAAGAGGTCTAGTTGCAGAGAATAAAAATATCTTCCACCAGTAGAAAAGAGAATTATTACCCCAGCCAGAGAGGAGAGACAGACATCCCACAACTGGATGAAATGTCAGACATTTTTTGGAACAGCAGCAGCAGCAGTGGCTGAACTGAAAAATTAATGTGAAATGGGACTTTGGGAGGAGGTACAACCAATAGTAGCAAGACTGAGAACTTGGCTGGACAACTGAGTGGAAAGCCAATATTGGCAGGACTGGGGACTTTGTTGGGCAAGTAGGGGAGGGAAGCCAATATTGGCAGGACTAAGAACTTGGAAACACTGAAGCTGAGGTGCCTGTGTGCACATTTTGGGATCTGCCTTGACTGTATTCTAGTTTTTAACCTGAATTATAATCTTTTGACTCCCCCAGTATGGTTCTGTGTGGCCTTTAAGCTATCACATCTGAATTTGGACACAACAAACCAGTAAGACTGGTGTTGAGATGAATAGTAGAAAGACACATAGGAGCATAAAGAACATGTCTGACCTTTTGGAAATTGATTTTGTGCTATCGATGCGGTGGGTGGAGATAGATTGCCCCTGTGATATAAAAAAGAGGTCAGATATGGCACTCCCTATGTGGTTCTTGCTCTTTTTACATCTACATTCACCTATACTGTGTAGTGTTTCAGAATTCTTTATTATTCTTTAGTGTTTCAAAGTACTCTATTGAATGAATCTACCAGAGTTTCTTTAAGCATTCATTGTCTGTTAGATAAGATACTTAAGTTGTTTTCATTTTTGCTATTATGAATAATGCCACAATAAACATATAATTATTCTTGTTATGGCTCACATTTTTTAAGGATATATGCCTTTAGAATCAAATGATGTTTTTACTTTCAACTTTTTAAAGGAATTACCAAAGTTCTTTCCATAGTGGTTGCACCATTTTACAGTTCCACGGTAGTGCAGGAGAGTTCTAATCTCATTACACTCTTGCCAGCAATTGTTGTTATTGTCTTATTGAACATTGTTATTGCTGGGATGAGGTGATAGTTTATTGTTTTGAGTTACATATTTTAATAGCTAGTGATCTTGAGCATTTTATGTGCTGGTTGGTCACCTAACTGTCTTCTCTGGCGTCTTTTCATGTCCTCTGCCCATTTTTTAACTGGGCTACTTTTCTTTTTCTTGTTAAGCTATTGGAGTGTCCTGTAAATTTTAGAGATGAATATTTTTTCAATCTGTTTTGCTTTTTCAGAGAACTCTTTTGATGCACATAGGATTTAATTTTTGGAAAGTATCAATCATATAGTTGATTCCTTGTTGACAGAACATCTTTTCTTTTATTTGATAGACTATTTATGGCACCAAATAGGGTTTCTAAACTTGCTCAAATTTTTTATGATCTTTGTAGTTTTAAATTTTATATCTTAAGTTAATTTTGTATATAAGACATAGATCTTGTTTCAATTTTTTCAAATAGCTATCCATTTTTTCCAGCAGCATAATGTTAAATAAACTATCATTTCCCCATTTAATGGAACTTCTCTCTTTGTCAAAGATCAGTTATGCTAACGCAGATAGATTTACTTTCACAGATTGAGAAATATTGTGTTAGAATGTTATTATAGATAAATTCCCTTAATTTTTGTATGTTTACCCTGTGCTTTGTCATTTTGCTGACTCATTCAACTAGATTCAGAAACTTTCTTGCTGAATCCATGGGATTTTTTTCATATATAGGATCATATTTTCTGCAGAGATAAATTTAATTTCTCTTTTTAATTTGGATGTCTTTTTTTTCCTTAACTTACTGCTCTGGCTAGGACATCCAATACAATATTAAAAGTGAGTGGTGATTAAGAACATTTTTGTCTGGTTCCAATTGAAAGATGAATGTCTTCAGTCTCTCCGTTGATAATGATGTTAGCCATTGGTTTTGGAGATATATTTTTAATTATGCTGAGGAATTTTCCCCCATTTTGTTGAATATTACTATTTAGAAAAGGATGTTGAATTCAGTCAACTGTCTTTTCTGTATTAATAGACATGCCATGGAGTTCCTTTATTTTATTTTTATGGTGAGTTTACTGACCATTTTTATGTTGAACTAGCCATGCATACTAATATGAATCTCACTGGGGATTACTTCTCTAATGAACCCCAAAATTGTGTGTGGAGGGAAATCTCTTTTAGCCAGTTTAGCTGCAATTATACTGTTTTCCAACTAAGCTCTTTTGTAAACACTCTTTCAAGTAAACTGCTCAAAATTTACAGTATTTCTTATAAGGTTCATTCAGCAAGTTAAGACATAGTTGCAGAGAAAAGGACTGTGTGGACACACACCACCTATACAATATCTGAGCCCATACTCTGATCTCTCAACTATACTCTCTTCCAACCCACCACCTTGCTTTCTTCACGGCCTTAGTGGAAAACAATTGAGTATGACGTACAGAGAGGAAATCACATGTCTTGTCTCCAAAGAGCCTGTTGGCTGTTTTGAGCAGGTACTGAGTGTCAGTTTTGTTAACTTCAGTGAGAAGTAACTGGAAACCTTGGTGAATATCTTCATCTCCAGCTCTGCTTTTATCTAAAGACAATGCCTGAAATCAAACAGAGATGAGTTCAGCACCAAACTGAGCACTGAGAACTTTATAGATCCACCTCACTGACGTCAATTCTTATTAAAAATAACCCTGTAAGAAAGAGACTGCCCCATGTGTTTCCCCAAGGTCATAAATCTTTATGGCGACAGATCACTAAAACTTTCTGCCATGGACCAACTGATGTGTAAGAACCGTTGACCTTTTGGTTGGCAGTCAAGTGAAACTATGATTTTTTTTTTTACAGATTCTATTGAACCTTAAAAAAAATTAGTCCATTTAAGTGGACTTCTGAATAAAGTACTCAGTTCTCTGTCCCAAACAAATGAAAGATACAGTGACCACAGGGTGGCCGACACTGAGAACATGCCCTTCCCTATCAACTCCCCCTCCACATTACTGAGACCTGAGTCGAGATATTTAGCAAGAGTGATACTTTTAAGGTTTGAAATGTGAAAAATCAGCTCAATTGACAATGTAAGATCATTTACTATTTCTTTGAAGTTATTTTCAGTACCTGGGACATCTGGGTGGCAGTGTTCCCCTTGGCTCCCATGAAGACCATAGCAAGGGCACATGAGATATTCATGGGTGAAAAAAACAAGTTGTTCGAGTTATTTTCACCCAACTTTTTCAAGAGATTCAAGGCAAAGGTACCATTTGCTTCTGACAGTGTACCCATAATGGTGGATCTAAAAAAGATGGATTTAAAAATCAGTACAATGTAGACATAGGCTTCTATATCTATGTAGTTCACTCTGCTAAGCGTTTAATGAATTAATATCTGAAAGAGCACAAATCTTGATAGAGCCATCAAAATTCAAGGTTATTTTGGGTGCCTCTAACATTAGTTAAAAATGGTGAATCAAAGTATTTATAATAAGATATAATTTTTCTTTTATAAAATAATAAAGCAGAAGATTATAACAGATTACTTGTTTATGAGCATAGAAAAAGACACATGCCACAATTTGCTTCAGTTACTACTTAGGGTTTAATAGAAAAGGTATTTGTAAGTTTTGCATATAATGACTCACTCATGCAAGGCATGCTTGGGAACCACAGTACACAGAAAATGGGAAGCAAGTAAATATATAATTATGAAGTAGGATAGAATTAAAGACATGGGAGAAGACAACTAAAAATCCTTTCTTTACCAAGTATGCAATTCTATTTAGAACTATGTTCAGCTGAATAGCCACAAAGATGCCTGAAGTCTTAATCTCAGAAATTTTATATGATCAAAGATATGGAATTAAGAAAAAGACCTTGAGATGAGACCATGTTTTATTACTGCAATGAACACTACATAAAATCACATAGGAACTTTTAAAAAGGAGGCAAAGAAAGGGCTGACGTTAGAAAAAAAAAAAAGCACAATGTCAACTGGTAACTGTGAAGATTGAAAAAGAAGAGTCAGGGAATGAAGGTCTGTAAGTTGGAAAAGAGAAGGAAACAGATTCTTCCCAGATCTTCCAAAAGGAATGACAGCTCCTTTACTTCAAATACTATTCTGTCTTCTACAGAAACCAAATCTCAATCACCTATCATTCCTATTATAAGCTACTTTTATCTCCCTGCTGTCTGGTTGATAATCTTTCATTGCTTGCTAGAGACAACCAAAATTCTCCTTCGAAGCAAAGCTGGCAACACTTCTTTTCTGACTTCGGACTTCAGACATATTAATAAGACAGACCAGTTCCTGAAGAAGGACATCATGTAAAGTAAAGGTTCTATGAAAAAAGAAGATTAAAAAAGAAGATGATGCTCAACAAGATACCTTAGCACAATGGCTGTCAATGGTGGGCTCAAACAGAGCAACTGCTGTGAGGATGGCACAGGACCAGACAATGTTTTGTTTTGTTATGCCCCAAGTTTCTGTGAGTGATAGATAGTCAGTTGCAATGCACCTAACAACATAAAATCAGGTATATCTGTTTTATTATATAAAGGAAACTTCACGCCAAAAGATAAAAGGTGCCTCATCATACAGCAGTCTCAATATTCTTCTTCTCTCTCTTTTTATTTTAATAGGAAACTGGGTAAAACAAAGAAAAACACCATTCAAGAAAAACACCTGACTTAATTGGGGGAGACAGGATTTATACATCTAGCTGTGAGATTCTAGACACTTGGTTTCTAATACTCAAGAATAAAACACGCATTGAAGTCTATGGGGGAGAGAATAGTCTAAAAGTATTATATTTTAGGGCATTATTTTTATC